GAAATTGCATTTTTTAAATTAAGATTTGTTTCCGGTTACCATTATTGGTGCTTCAAGAGTTCTAAAAAACCCGGAATTTTATTTTCGTTAAATGTCACGTACACAGGTTCCACGTAGCCATGGCGTGGGAAATTCACACACACGCACATCACTGGCCATAAATATATATGGAGTAAAAAGTAATAAAACTATGAATGCAAAACATATAAATCGAAATATTACAAAAATGTATATAGAACGAAACAAGAATCAGGAAACAATAGCAGAGAGAAGAATAAAGCCGTTTGTATGTTATTAAATAAGACAAGTTATATCGGGAGAAACACATTTGCTGCTCCACATTTGCCATGCACTGATGGGGTCCCGGAATTATCGTCATCATCATTGCCATTGTTATCGTCCTTGTTGTTAGTGTTGCTGTTATATTTGCTGTTATAGTTAGTATTACTATTGTTATTGTAGTTGGAATTATTGTTGTTATCATAACTGCTATTATTGTCAGTTTACGCCATGGACAGATATATTTTTTATGAAACGGGTTCGATGAAAGTTTTTCTCGCGGGAAGGCTTTGGGTGATGTATGGTGGGGAGGGGAGGCCAGGGCAGGGGAGGGGAGGCCAGGGCAGGGAGGGGAGGGGCAGGGGAGGGGAGGCCAGGGCAGGGGAGGGGAGGCCAGGGCAGGGGAGGGGGCGATGGAGACAAGGGGTGGGGGTCCGATTGACCGCGAGGAAGCTTTGCGGTTGCGTCGCGGGTGTGAATTGGTGATGATTCGTGCTGTTTCTCGTAAATGTCGTTAATGAACGGTCGTATGTGCTCTTCTCAGTTCCATCGTGAATAATGATAAGATAATGAATATATGACAGCAGTTGCATGATAATAATGATGATAATAATGATGGATAATGATGATGTAAACTAATAAGTGATAACAGCAGGGCTAATTACAATGATAACGTAAATGATAATGAATCTGATACTGATAAAGGTAAAGGTGATAATGACAGCAGTAATACTAATATCAAGAAATGATTGTAATACGATACTATCAGCTGAATTTTGCAATTAAGCCAATGCTTAATGAAAGGAAAAAGAGCTTGAGCTGAATGCCCTCGAGAAGATGGCGCAGGAGCCTGGCATCGGGACAAGGAGGAACTGGAACAGGAAGACGAGAAGAGGGACGGCATGACCGGAGCATTCCATAGGAAAAAGGATGTGATTATATGCAGGATATGTGGTTCCAGACAGAAAGGAGGAAGGGGCTTTAGTAATTGTGAAAGGTGTGTTAAAGGAAAGGAAAACTTTATTGGGTGGCTTACGGAGAGGATTATGGAATCGTGCCTACCGACTTCAGAGAAAGGACAGGTGGTGAGAGCAGATGGGTGTGGACCTCCGGAGCATTTTAAGGAACAAAGGAAGGAAGAAGCTAGCGGGTGGGAAATGACGTTATGCAAGTTTTTGACGAAAATTAACCATGTAAATGAGGTAAAGTCATGGGAATGGTGGCTAAGATCGTGTCTAAAACCAGGAACAAAGGTTCTAATATATGCTGCGCAAGAACGGTCTCTAAGGACTGTAATAACTTGAAACCACGAGTGCAGGTTGTTACGGCTTTGTTGGTATATAAGGTAGTATCGCGCAGTGAATGCAGGCACGTGTAGCGTGCACACAAGGCATGGAAATGTAATTCAAATGGTGTATTGACATATATTTGATAGTTATGGTGTGGAAACCCAAGACAGGGCGAATAGAAATCAGAAGTTTTTACTTCATTATTGACATTGCATTTCCTGGAGAATAAATGTGCAAGGGAAAAGACCAGGAAAGAAAAACGTACTGATCTGAAAAGGGACACTGTCTGGCCGTGCGGCATAAAGAAGGCGGAAGTAATGCGTCGTGAGAACCATTGAAGTGGCAACGAAGAAATTAGGATTTGGGACGAAAAGCCTCTGAGTTCAAATTTGTGCAAATCATGACCTGCATAATTTGGAAGAACAAGAATACTTGTCAAAATCCAAAGGGCCTCTGGCTTGCAATGAGGTCGTAAGGGACAAATGAGTATACATCACCATTTTAGAATAGCTAAGAACACTGTCAGGATGATAAAAGCATTTTACTATGGTATCACACGACAGTGTCACGTTAATTATTTTGTTAGCTGTAACTGCATACCATAAAAGCGATTTTGCTCGAGCCTTGCTGCTCGTCCCTAAACTTGTTTTCCGTGTCTCTATAATTCACCAAAATCTCAATTATCCTCATTAAATGTGATAATGAGCAGGTTAGGAAAAAGGTCTTCAGTGTGTCTCAATACTGTGGTCTTCCTCATCACACCACATCCTCACTGTCTCTTTTCCCTTCAGGTGATGGCGGAATACAGCAGGGTGACGAAGGCCTGCACCGAGCGCGGAGAGCTATGGGAAGACCCGGACTTCCCTGCCTCACAGACGTCTGTGTTCTACCACCAGACTCCGCCATTCACGTTCACCTGGCGACGACCTACGGTGAGTGCAGGACCCTTACTCCAGCCCCCTTTTCTCCCCCTCCCCCCTCCTGACTGCGTTTCAGATGCGCTCGTCTTCCCCGTTGCGTGATTGTGATTACGTGAAGGTCCCCAAGCCTCTTGGTGCTGCTGCGTGAGTTCCCACACTTAATTGCGTGACACAAAAGAAGTTTGGTCACGCGGTCGTGTTTATGGCTTAGAATAAAGTGCTTTGTCATAGCCCATGTGACGTAATTTCATATGACTCCCAGGAAGCATCGAAGTGCAGTGCATGTAGAACAACGAAGGGCTGTGTGTCACACAGTGTTGAAATCATAATGAATAAGGTGCTAGGCCTGTAGGTACTTTGCAGTATACTTCACCGAACATGCAGTAACAGATTGCTTAACACGCAATTTGATGCTATTACTCCATAAAGCATCGGAAAATACATGGATATACACATATACCCACCCGTCTGTGGCCTATAAAACACAGTGTACAAATGAATTTTGCACTAGAAATTGATGGATATTTATACCGTTAGGTTTGCTGAACACCTCATTTGCGTTCGTCATTCACCATACAATAAGTCAGCATTGTAATATATAATTTAGTAATCAACTTTGTTCACCTGTATAATATAAGTAGCATATTTAGTACCCTGTCCATAAAATACAGTTTGACCTCACACAAGCAATTTGCAACATGATGTTAAACACAATAATTTCCATTGTAAAATCACCGTTATTTTGCATCGTTTCATCAGACACACCCAGCCTTGGCAGTGTGTAATAACTTCCACTAATTATCCTTGGTTTTAATGAAGGTCTGACTAATTATGCAAATTCGACACTCAACTCTCACTTCTCGTTTTCCTTCGTCACGTCATCCGCCCATCAGACGTCGCTTCCTAAAATCCTGTTGTTGAAAGACGTTGCAGGAATTTGCAAAAAAGAGTAGTAGAAATGTCTAGGGTTGATGCTGTGGTTTGGCAGGCGGCGAAAAAGAAAAATATTTGATGATCTTGTGAGTAGTGATGGTGAAGATGGGATGTTGATGTAATAAATGATTATGACTGTATTGCAAATAGATAATGATATGCAGGGTGGTAGACATAATGCTGATGCTTTGTTGATGCGGTGTAGGTATGCCGGTGTGGTAGGTGTTGCAGTTCTCGTATAACTTTATAGTATAAAAGAAGAAGTGATTAAGTAAGGCGTTGCGGTGTTGTAGGGGCGTGGGAAACATTAATGAAACTTGAATAATGTGGCTTCTTGGCATGCGGGGTGTGGCAACCAGGAGTGGTCGTGTGGCAACGGCTCTCGTGGCAGCAAGAACGAGCAACGAGCCTGAAAATCTGAACAAAATGTTATTCAAACGCAACTTTCACTGCACCAGTTTCCGGCACAGTTCACCGCGGCGTTTCACAGCCCCCCCCCCCTCCCTTCCCCCTCCCTGTGCCTGACGCGGGAGGGGGCGGGGGCTCGAGAATGATCTTCGAGGCAGGAAACGCAAACACACGCACTCCATCTCAGGGGTGTGGGGTGGGGGTGGGGAGGGGGTGACTCCGACTGATGCGGGGCGATGAGGTGCGACGCTTGTGGTGCCAGCTGAGTGCGGGGAGGGTGTGATGGAAGCGGATTGCGCCGTCGAGAGGAAACATGCCCGTTGAAATAATTATTGCAGTTATGATGGGCGAGTGTGCTTCTACATTCATGGTCACACATTCTCTCTCTTCTCTCTCTCTCTCTCTCTCTCTCTCTCTCTCTTCCTCTCTCTCTTCTCTCTCTCTCTCTCTCGTCTCTCCTCTCTCTCCTCTTCTCTCTCTCTCTCTCTCTCTCTCTCCTCTCTCTCTCTCTCCCTCCCTCTCTCTCTTCTCCTCTCCTCTCTCTCCTCTCCTCATCTTCCTCTCTCTCTCTCTTCTCCTCTCTCTCTCTCTCTCCTCTCTCCTCTCTCTCTCTCTCTCTCTGCTCTCTCTCCTCCTCTCTCTCTCTCTCTCTTCTTCTCTTCTCTCTCTCTCTCTCTTTCTCTCTCTCTTCTCTCTCTCTCTCTCTCTCTCTCTCTCTCTCTCTCTCTCTCTCTCTCTCTCTCTCTCTCTCTCTCTGCTCTCCCTTTTCCCTCTTCCCTCTCCCTCTTTCCCTCCCTCATCCTCTCTCTCTCTCTCTCTCTCTCTCATCTCTCTCTCTCTCTGCTCTGACTCATCCTCTCTCTCTCCCCCTCCGGTCTCTCGTCTCTCTTTCTCTCTCTCATCGTCTTCTTCTCTTCTCTCATCTCTCTCTCTCTACCTCCCTCTTCACCTGTCTTCTTCTCTCCTCTCTCTCTCGACCTCTCTCTCTCTCGCCCCCCCCTCTCTCTCGTCTTCTCGTCACCTGCTCTCTCTCTCTTCTCTATCACTTCACTCTCTCGTCCTCTCCATCACTACTCTCTCTCGCTCCCCCCTCTTCTCATCTCACTCTTTCTCTGTCGCTCTCTTCCATCCATGTCTATCCTCCCTCTCTCCTCTTCTCTCTGCTCTCTCCTCTCTCTTTCTCGTCATCTCTCTCTTCTCTCCTCTTATTCTCTTCTCTCAATCCTCTTCTCTCTTTCTCTTTCTCTCTGCTCTCTTCCTTTGTTCCTCTTTCTCTTTCTCTCATCCTCTCTTCTCTCTCATTCTGTTCTCTCTCCTATCATATCTATCTATATATCTCTGCTCATCACTCTTTCTTCTTTTCTCTGGGTCTCAACCGCCCCCCCGCCGCTCTCTGCTCTCTCTCTGCTCTCTCTCTCTCGTCGCTCTTCTTCGAAGTCATATCTCTCCTCTTCTGCTTCTCTCTCTCTCTCTCTCTCTCTCGCTCTCCCTCTCCCTCCCTCTCGCGGCCTTGTCTCTTCATGTCTCTCTCCTCTCTCTCTCTCCTCTCCTCTTCTCTCCCTCTCTCTCTCGCTTTCCTGTCTCCCTTCTTCTCTGCTCTCTCTGGTCTTCTCTCTCTCTCCTCTCTCTCTCCTCTCTCATCTCCTCTCTTCTCTCTCTCTCTGTCTCTCTCTCTGTCTCCTCCTCTCCTGGTCCTCTCACTCCTCTCTCACTCTCTCACTCTCTCACTCACTCACTCACTCACTCTCTCACTCTCTCGCTCTCCCTTCTCACTCTCTCTCCTCTCCCTTCCCTCCCCTCCCTCTTTCTCTCTCTCACTGAACATTATAGCGTGTGTAGAGGGAAAGAGACGCCGCACTGGCATGCACAGGGGCGAATGAGACGAGTAGTAGACAGTAGATAACACATTTACACAACTTACTTCGAGCGTTTTACTTGCAAAGTAGATTACTTCGGACTCCAATTACGTCTAAGACATATGGAGAAAGCAGCGTGTATACAGACAGACCGACACAGATATGTAGGCACAGGTACACAAACTAAGACAGGCAGGTATGAAATAGAAGAGACAGAACAGACAGGTAAGATACACAGGCTCAGCCATACAGGCAGAGATTATGCATGCGCAGACAGACAGGTCCAGTAGAATGAGGTGCTCATTAACCAGGCTCATTCAGAGAGACATTGCCGGGCGAGCTCAGACAGAAGCATTACGCAGAGAAGAGATTCAGACACAGCCAGAAACAGAGAAGCTCAGACAAGAACGCACAGACACACAGACTCACATGGGCAGACAAAGCTCACATAGACAACCACACGCAGACAAGGGTGTAGACCGACACCAAGACATAAATGGCGATTGAAAAGTTTACGGCTTCATTCATAAGGGCGATTATGAAAGGCATTCCTCCGCGGATTCCCTCGCGCTGACGACATAGAGCCCGAGGCAATGACCTACTTGGGTGCGTGAGTAAGTGTGTTTGTGTGACTGTGTGTGTTGTATGCGTGAGGTAATTTTTTTATGTGCGTGTGTGCGGATATATATATATATATATATATATATATATATATATATATATATATATATATATATATACTATGTATACATATATATATATGTATGTATATAGATAGATAGATAGACAAATATAGATACAGGTTTATCGTGTGAATGTGCTTATAAGTTTGTGGTAAGAGGTACGTTTGAATATCAGTGTTTGTATGTACAGCGTTTTGTAAGTGCATTCTTCATAAATAGGATTGAGGGGAATGCTGTACACAAGGAGATAATGGCTGGGTGAAAATCAAATATTTGACATTTGTGCCTCTGGGTCAGCAAACGGCATGCTCTCGCTTCTCTGTCTCTGTCTCTCTGTCTGTCTGGTCTGTCTGTCTGTCTGTCCTCTCTCTCTCTCTCTCTCTCTCTCTCTCTCTCTCTCTCTCTCTCTCTCTCCTCTCGGCTCTCTCGTCTCTCTCTCTCTCCTCTCTCTCTCCTCACAGACACACACACACACACACACACACACACACACACACACACACACACACACCACACACACACACACACACAACACACACACACACAACACACACACACAACACACACACACACACACACACATGCACACACACCACACACATGCACACACACACACAAAACAAACAAACAACAACACAAAACACTCACACAAACAAACAAGCGCTCACACAGAAAACAAAAACACACACACAAGCTAATCAAACACACACATACACAAACAAATGAACTCACTAAAAAATCAGTCAAACAAGCAAACACACACACACACACACACACACACACACACACACACACACACACCACACACACACACACACACACCACACACACACACCACACACACACACACACACACACACACACACACACACACCACACACACACACACACAACACCACACACACAACACACACAAACAATCACAATCACACACGCACGCAAGCACGACGACTATTAGTGTAGAGAATGCCCCGTGTGTGCTGCCGTCACCCAACTTTTTTTTCTCACCCAACGAAAGCCAACAAGGTCGAACAAAAAAGACAAGGTTTGGCCGCAGAAGAAAGGGAGGGAAGGAGAGAGAGAGAGAGGAGAGAGAGAGAGAGAGATGACGAGAGAGGAGAGAGAGAGAGAC